AGTTTAAGGCCCAGGCGCCCTGAGGTGCGTTAGCCTAGTAGTAGTAGTAGTAGTAGTAGTTATAGTTTGTACTTAGTAGTTAGTAGGAGTTAGTTGTAGTTAGTAGTATGTGTTAGTAGTAGTAGTAGTAGTAGTAGTAGCAGTAGTAGTAATAGCAGTCGTCGTAGTTCGTCGTCGTAGTAGTAGTGGTAGTGTAGTCGTAGTCGTAGTCGTAGTAGTCGTATTCCGCACACTTGTTTAATTTGGGGGACCCCCCCAGAATAAGAAATTGAAGGCGCCAGATTAAAAGAATGATTGGGGCTCCTGGAACAATTAAGATTCAATAGGAATGCATTCCTGCATCATTGGGGCTCTTGGACCCATTAATTAACAAATGAGTACACCATACGAAAAGCCACCTAGTTGTAGCTAGTCTTTGGACGCTAATTAGACCCCAAAAAATTCTGTAAATGTGGACCCTTGAATAAAACAAGTGTTCGGATTAGTAGTAGTGGTAATGGTAGTGGCAGTGGCAGTGGTAGTGGTAGTGGTAGTGGTAGTGGTGGTGGTGGTGGTAGTAGTAGTAGTAGTAGTCGTAGTAGTAGTAGCAGTAGTAGTAGTAGTAGTAGTAATACTAATAGTAGTAGTAGTAGTAGCAGCACTTGTTGTTGTTGTTGTTGTTGTTGTCGATCTTGTCGATGGGTGTTGCCGATGTTGTCGGTGGGTGTTGTCCATGTTGTCGGTGGGTGTTGTCGTTGTTGTGGTTGTTGTTGTTGTTGCGCTAATAGTAGCAGCACACTGGTAGAAGACGAAAAGTTGTGGCAGCAGGAGCAGCAGCAGCAGCTGTAGCAGTAGCAGCACTCGGGTTAGCAGGGAGCAGTATGGAGTAGTAGCAGTAGATAGCAGCAGTAGAAGCAGCCTAATGAGAAACAATCGTGGTCGTCGTGCTGGCCGTGGTCGTGGTGGTGGTGGTGGTGGTGGTGGTGGTGGTGGCGGCGGCGGCGGCGGCGGCGGTGGTGGCGGTGGTGGCGGTGGTGGTGATGGTGGCGGTGGTGGTAGTCATCGGGGTAGCAGCAGTGGCAGTAGCAGTAGCCGTAGCAGCAGTGGCAGCGGCAGAGCAGCAGTTATAGTTGTCAGCTGCTATGTCGTCTCCTGGTCTTTGTCTAAACCAGAATATTGTTCATCATACGATCACTGCAGCATCCATGCCAAGACCATACCACTTCTATCCCCGAAGGTATGCGGTCGCTGCCCAAACCCATAACAGCGTCGTCAATCATCGAGTGCGTACAGTGCATTTATGCCCAAACCATGATGGCATCCTGAACTGCATACGGTCAATGGGGCATCTAAGAGCGAATCATGATAACGTCGATCTCCGAGGGCAACCATTCCCGACGGTAGTCATGTTCGAGTATCTCTTCGAGCGCAGGTGTCCTCCGTTCTCAACATAAATAGTCCGACTTGCAGGGCTGTATTGGATGTGGGGTTCTCGGGGTAGCCATTTGCGTGCACAAACATTGCAAGCATTAGAGACTTCACAGCAATTGCAACATGAACGCTTGCATGCCTTGTGAAATCAGGAGATGAAGTCGTTCTGGATCACCGGCTTCACAAATGCCCAGGGATTCTTGACAGGCATTCGTCAGGAGGCGACCCCACAAGAGCATGCTGGGTTTTGGGCCACCACAGCAGGTCGTAGACTCTGTGGCGCTGAGCTCTGTAGGCCAAACAACAGAAGCTGCTTCATATGTGTGAACAGCCTTGCCCACAACTGTGCTCAACTTGCACAGCACGTATAATTCAGGTCCTGTATAGGAGTTAGGACTCTGGGCTTCATGCTAGATCCGCAGGCTCATTTTGCAAGTGGCATCAGGGAATGGTTCATTCTAGTCAGGCCGTGGCAACTCGCACTGATTTGGCGCACAGATGAAAGAAAGCATCAGTTTCGGCAGGTGACGCGTCAACACAAAAGAGACCAATGGGCCTTGGACGAGGTGGTGACGCACACGGAGGCCGCAGGGATCTCAAGCTAGAGGCTCAGGTGGCTCAGGCATTGAACCGGGTGACGGTCAGCATGGGGACCCCCACCAAGCAAGGCAGGGCAACGCACCGGCTAGCCGGCAACGAGGGCTAGCAAAGTCTCGAACATGAAGGTGCGTGCAAACTCGCCCTTCCAATCTTGGACGGACTGGTTGGCGACGAAAATCAAGAAGCAACAGCCATGGCAATCAAAGCGCTCCATGCAATACTACACATGTACTGAAGGTGCCATGGGTGCTAACAGTGTATTTTCTTTCTGCACACTAGGGATCCTTCTAAGCAGGTATAATTCAACCACAAGTGTGGGTGCCGTCTTGGTGACCGGAGAGCAGAGACTGGCAAAGTCTTGTCAGCGTGCCGGCCACCCATGCAGTATGGCGAAGCGGAAGCAGGAAGCGTTTCTTGAGGGCTCGCATTAACATTGTGGAACCCACTGACTTGGCACTGCACACCATCTGCAACCCTCGCGCTAGCCGTATGGGCTTCTAGGCGTGTGGGGACATTTTCCCGTGTTGGCGAAATTTGGTTGCCTGACAAGTTTGCTTAACAAAGCTGGCGAGACCTAGCCCATGTTCAGTACAGTGGGATTAACCTTGCTTGCGGTCTTCCGCAGGAGATGTCGCAGGCTGCACTCAAGCTAAGCCTGGCTTTGACCAAGAAACATTCTATAATGTATTATGAAAACCGAATGGTGTGCTCCCCATGATGATGCAATGGAATTCGCACCAGCCTACATGCTTGGAAACCTTACTAGCATCTGAAATGGGGCTTCCTGGAGCCGGCCGCCTTCATCAACTTGGTCCAGCAGTTCCAGCAGTAATGAAACGGCGCCAACCAAATTCATTGCCCGAGCATGGCCCCTCAACTGCTGTGTCTCCTCGCACAAGTAATTGACAGCCAGCCCCCAAAAAAGAACAACAAGTTCAATACGTGTGAGTTGGATCATGGAGAGAACGAAGAAGAGGCATGAGCAACTAAGGAGAAAGAAGAATCCCTCCAGATACCTAGAGTGACAAAATGTGGAAGGCGCTTCAATGCGACCTGAAAGATTGGGCAGGGACACAAAATCCGCCCGCAGCACCTCTCCTCCCATGAAGTTAAGCTGCATTGTGTACAATGCCGTTTCCTTTCTTCAAATCTGCACGGACTGGTTGGACCAAATGAATGTTTAACGCGTGACGGGGTGAAGACCAAGAGCTGTTCATGAGCCTTTCGAGTCAGAATCTGACATGGTAGAAAAAACCCAACAAGTGCGATGTATGCATAGGGAGCTTTCTTTGAATTGGTGAGCCTGAAGCTGAAGATTCGGAGCATTCCAACACTTGTCACTGGCTTGCGCAGAAGGCTAAGAAATGCTAAGAATGTAGTGGTGTGCAGGGTACACCACAAGAAGCACCGGAGAAGGGCTGTTAATCACCGTACGCTAAGTAAAGCATGGTGCCAGTCCCGGCCGCAGCTTTTGGTTGTCAGGGCGCAAGGGAAACAGCCTGTAGAATAGAAGAAGGAAGATACTTGAGCCGAGTATTTCGGCCGTTCATTTCTACCGGTTGCACTGCACGACTGGCCTCACAAGGGCAACGGCTGAGTTGCTCAATGTGCTGTTCCAGGTATCCTTGAGAAGGTAAGACGCGGCAGTGCGCATGCAAGAATGCTGACAAAGTCACGTTGCAAGGCTGTGAAATGTTGAAGCATTTCATCCATGGCCAGCGAGAAAGTTCTTTTGGCCTGTGTGGTCTTTCAATGTCTTTCACTGGCATGTGCTTCCTTGCAGGTCTTGACTCTTGACACTCCCGACCGTGTCCGTGAACTTCCAGAAGAAGGATCTAACTCTGTGTACGCACAGCTGCCGCAACCGCATCATTTCACAATTGTTGCCGTTCGGAGGACAAAACATACACGGGCTATTCATTGAAGGTGGCAAGTGGGTGTCCAAGCCGTCTTTCGTGACTTTTACGCTGGCAATTTCACTTGAACGTACAAACCTGCTGGAAAAGTGTAGTAGTCTTTTTGAATCATTCACTGACAGCTGCGTGGCGATTTGAGGTGGAACCGTCTTGAGGGAAAATTAGAGGACGTACACGCTGACTAGCCTGGCCTGGGCTGGCTGAAGTCTTGAGCTTGATACAGGAGAGTGAAGCAAAAAAGCTGGGACCTGAGCAGGTCCTTTCACATCCACGTGTTCATCACATTGATAAACTTCATCCAGTCGGCTTTGTTTCGTCTAGGTTTTGACGCATCCAGCCACATTTCACTTGGATCCGTGCATGCTTCAGATCCTCTGCCTTCACTGATGCTCCATTGACCCACTTGAGGCTTCAGCAAAACATGCCGGTCATCTACGTCGGCTCGTCAAGACTAGGGCACAAGGCCTCATTAGCACGATGTGCTAGCGGCCAGCGCACAGGTCACAGCGGTTGAAGTCAAGACGCTCAAAGCCATGAACTCGTGGCCTACCCAGCCAGCAGCAGTCTGCTCTAGTAGACAATGTTGAAATGCAGCAATGCAGTCTGCTCTAGTAGACACTGTTGAAATACGCTGGCCCCTGACAGACGCGTGCAGCGTGATCAGGTCATCCGGGCCTTTTCCATCCTTCAATGCCAGTGACCTACACACCCTACACGCACGAGTTGAGGGAGATGCATTGTTTGGCTTGTTTCTGTTGTTTGCTTGCTTCTGTGGCTTGCTGTGTACCTCTTGCTTTATGTTGTTTTGCTTCCAGCCTGTTGCTTTCGGCTTGTTGCTTTCCGGCTTTGCTTTCTGCTTGGTTTCTTCTTATTGCTTTTTAGTTGTTGCTTCCTGCTTGTTGCTTGCTGCGTTCTGCTTTGCTTCTTGCTCTTTGTTTCTTGCGTTCCCGACTGCTTATGTTTGAAGCGATGCTCCTAAGTATGGAGAACAAACCATCAGGTGTGCAGTTCGCAAAGATTTTTTAGCAAGGGAGGCCGAAAGCAATCCCCAGACGATACCTGAAGGATAGCCCAACCCTCCTCGCCGTCGACGTCCTGTAGCATGACTTCCGAGTTGAATGATAGTGACGGCTCCAACCAGAGCCAAGATCGTTTGTTAGGTTTGGGGACCCATGGTTCTTCTGTCCCCTGGCCCTCCGATTCCTGCATCTTCCTGGTCCTCTGGTTCCTGGATGAGGAGGACCCAACTCTCCTGCTTGCGCAAACTTACATTAAAGAGTATCGTCCCCTTACCTTGCTTGCAAAAGAGTGTTGTTCAAGAGGTTCGTTCGAGCAGCATCTCGTTTTGCCTCCCCCAACCCCACGCTGCGCTGATTATTTTGAAAACCGTGCAATCTTATGAAAAGAGCATCGTGCCATCACCTTGTTCGAAATATTTGCTGCCAAGAGCGCGTTTCGCAACAGGTACGCTTGAGCCTTGTGACCATAGTGTTTGCAAATGGGGGCCGTCCCCCCCGTTGCCACTGCGGTTTTGAAAGCCATGCAAACAAGTATGGTGCTTCCATCTTGCTTGATTTTTTGGCCAGCAAGGGTGTTTTTGCAAGAGGTGCGTGAAAACAGCGCATAGTCCCATCATCGTGCTTGCAAATCCCGCCACTGTTTTTGAGGCTGTGAAAGCTGGCCTCAAAGAACATGATCCCGTAGCCTTGTATGCAAACACCACACACTCCAAGCCCAAGCAGCGCTTATTTGCAAGAGGTTCGTCCGAGAATTTGCACGTTGCTTTTAGCAGGGCGCATACCCCAACCGCCCTGCTGGTATTGATAGCGCCGCTCTGGTACATGAAGGCTACGACCATCTCTCTCACGGCATCTGATAATATTGATTAGCAGATTAGCACATTCGGGGGCATCGCACCTTCAATATGTTTGCAAAGGTTGCCTGCAAGATTGTTGCCCCCCCATGCAGTATGCCAACACTAGGGGGTTGTGGGGTATCAACGGTGCTCGCGCTAGAATCCCGTGCAAGTCCTCCTTGCGAAGTGCAGAACTGTCCTCGCTCCGATGCTGCTTGCTGGTTCAGCATTAAATCCATGTACGTTCTTACATTTGGCATGAATAAATACCGCAAGTCTTACAGATTTTCTATGGCTTGCCCACTGAGCCTACAGTTCTCCTCTCACTTTCTGGGTTTGTTGGAAAACAACAGGAGCAGAAAGCCGGCACAAGCAAGAAAGAAAGACACGGAACCTAAAAGAGTTCCATTATTTGTCAATCATGTTTCTCGCCTTTGTCATTTTTCACAACGATCGCCACATGTTCGTCATATTTCATCTTTGTTCTTCATCTTTCATCATATTTCATCATGTTCATCCTGTTTCATCCTCCCGGTGATTTTACAAAACAAGCGCACGCGAGCGTTTGCATAGCAAATTCTGGACATATGATGTTACCTAGCCCCTAAGATACCTTGTTGGTACAAATATTGTATTAGCGTTGCTTCATTGTTGTCGCAACTGTTAGCAGCGCCCATTCCCTGCGCATAGAATATGGATTAAATCAGTATGGCCGACATGCATACCGGAGCAGAAGCAATCTGGGCAGAGTGATTCTGCCAAAGAAGCTGGATCATATCTCATCATTTCTCAGCATACTTCATCATTGCTCATGAGAGTTTCTCATTATTATTCAAGACTTTGAGATCTTTCCTTGCACATCATGCTTCATGATGTTGAGCATAGATTGCAATGCTTTATATGTTTTATCCACATTTTAATTGTTTCATCATGTTCTTCATGGGTCATGATATTTTATTATTTTCCATCACTTTTCATAATTCCATATTGCATAATTTCCCAACAAATATCATCCTTTGTCAAATTTCTTCATTTCTTGTTATTAATCATCATGTTTCGTCGCGTTTCCGCATTGTTCATCATTGTACATCATTGTGCCATCTTCCTCATCTTGTTCAGCATTTCCTTGATGTTTCAGGACCTTCCATCATTCCATTGTACACGATTTGCAAAGGGGGAGGGGGCTGCACCGCCTCAACCCCGCTGCCTCATCCCCCCCCTCACCCCTCCGCTGATTCTTGACAAGGCAAATGCCGGCAAGCACTGGTATAAAATCTTGGCATATGAGGTCGTCCGAGCCTTTAATTGCGTTAATGGTACAGAATTTGTGTCATTGTTTTTCGGAGGTTGTCAGCATTATTATCAGCATCTCTTCCCTGAGCATGGAATATTGATGACAATCAATACGGTGGACACCCGTATACATTCTGGAGCAGAATCAATTTGAGCAGAGTGGTTGACCTCATATTGTAATATTTCATGATGTTTGACCCTTCCCATCACCTTGCTTCATCATTTTCACCAACTGCTTATCATGTTCTATCATCGGCCGTCATTAGCCATCATTTCATTCTTCGTCATGTTGAAGATGTTTCATCATGGTTCATCGCGTTTGTCATTTTTTAGTTTTTCATCGCATCTTCATCACGTTCCTTATTTAGGCAATAATCCCGATATTGGTCATGATTTTCCAACAACTTTCATGATACTCCTCATCTGTCATCATCATCTCCCAACATGTATCAGAATTTTTCCTCATGCTCACCATATTCCAGCATTTCTTGGATAATTTTAATGACTTCCGTGCAGTGTTCATTATCTTCATGATTTTCCACCAACTCCCTCTCCTAGGTCAACTCCCAAGCTGATTTTTTGGTACAAGAAATGCAAACAACTCTGGAAAATCTTGGCATATGAGGTTGTTGCCGTGTATGATCATTTGCATTATCACCGCGTTGTCGTCGTTGTTGTTGTCGTCGTCGCCGTCGTTGTTGTTCTGCAATTCTGCATCTTCGACAACGTCAACGTCATCGTCGGATCGTCAACGTCGACGTCGTCGTCGTTTCATCGTCGTGGTGGTTGTTGTTGTTGCTGTTGTTGGTGGTGGTGGTGGTGGTGGTGGTCGTGGTCGTGGTGGTGCTGGTGCTGGTGCTGCTGCTGGTGCTGCTGCTGCTGCTGCTGCTGCTGCTGCTGCTGCGGTTGTTGTTCTTGTTCTTGTTCTTTTTGTTCTTGTTCTTGTTCTTGTTGTTATTGTTGCTGTTGCTGCCGCTGCTGATGCTGATGGTGATGATGATGATGATGATGATGATGATGCGTTGTGGTGGTGCTGGTGCTGGTGCTGGTGCTGGTGCTGGTGGTGGTGGTGGTCGTGGTCGTGGTCGTGGTTGTTGTGGTTGTTGCTGTTGCTGTTGGTGGCGCATGTGGTGCTGTGGCGGTGGTGGTGTTATGGTGCTGCGGTTGTGGTTGTTGTGGGAGCGAGTGAAGTGAAAACGTGGTTGCGTTTGTTGCTGTTTTGTTGTCATCGTTGTTGTGGTTGTGCTGTTTGGGTGTGGTTTCGGTTGTTGGTGGCTGCGGCGGCGACAGCGGTTATGGTTGTTGTGATGGTTGTTGTTGTCGTGGTGGTTGTGGTTGTTCGTATACTATGTAAAGTCTGGCGGCTTGCACATGAACCTGAGGAAGTCCGCGAACCCGAATGCAGACACGAGACACGTAATTCACGGAGATTATTTAAACGCGCCACACGCGACAGGCTACGAAGAACACACAACAAAAACACTACACTCTCTACTCTGCGGTCTCGCACCCCCCTCGCCACATTCCGGTCTCCAATCCATCCACTCTCTACTTTTTATCTCCGCACTTCACTGCAATCCCGAATCTCCACTGTCCACTCCATCCACTCTTGATTCTCCACTCTTCACCTCCTCCCTCGACTCAACTTCATCCACTCTCTGTTTTTCAAACTCCACACTCCACTTTCCATTCTCCCCTCTTCACTCTCCACTCCGTCGAGTCCATTCCATCCACAGTCCATCCTTCACTCTCCACCTTGCACTCGACTCTACACTCTCCACTGTCCGCTCCATCCACTCCATTCCCCACACTGCACTCTCCACACTCTATTCCGTCCACTCTCCATTTTCCACTCTCCTCTCTCCACACTCCGCTCCATCACTAGCCACTTGATCTTCTTCTGCTCTCCATTCTCCGCCCTACGCATCCCTACGCTCCACCCCATCCACTCAAGCCACTCAATCCACTCAACATTCTCCACACTTTCCTCTCCAAACTCACTGTCCACACTCCGCTCTCCTTTCTGCAGTCTCCACTATCTCTTCAGTCCGGTCTCCACTCAACTATTCCGCTTTCCATTCTACTTTCCTCAACTGCATTGTCCACACTTCACTCTTCATTTTATGTTCATCTTTCGCACGCATCACATTTCTCATTCATCTTCATTTCCGCATTTTTTCACCATGCGGGGCCAAAAGTGACGACAGTTAGGAGGATGACGACCCCGATTCATCAATCCGTGTGATTGTCGACACTTGGGGATGCGAGGGTCCAACTTGCGAGGATCGCAACCTCAAACCCCGCAATCCCTGTGACTGTTACTGTAGCACTTTTTCCCAAAATCCAAGAGGATATGAGGGTCATTGAGGGTCCAAAAGCCACGACAGTTGCGAGGATCACGACCCCGACGACCACAATCCCTGTAAATGTCAGCACCTGGGGATGCATGATAACCGTCAGTACAGGAACGATGAAGGGATCGGCCCGCAAGTTTTGGCAGGCCTGCCAGCCCCTGCAAGACAATAAGGCAGGAAATACTTGATAATGTGTTAACTAGAGCATGAACAGCAATGTGAGCAAGTTTGCGTGTTGGTGCTCGAAGTTGGGGCAGCAGAGCGGCAATGGAACGATAATCGAAACATATCAAAACGATAATGTTGATTGCACGATGCCGGGCGTAGCAAACCGTTGCCCCCGTGCTGCCCAGCCTAAGTGTTGCTTTCAATGCCCCGGGACCAATCCCGTTGGTCTTGAAGAAGGTAATGTCAGTTATGTGCTGGACGATTGAGAGGCGCTTTTCTTTTCAACGCGTTAGGTTCCCATTGTTCTTCATAGAACACCCCAGAAATGACAACCCTTGTACTTAAACCCTATAAGAAGACAAGAAAACACCAAACCATAAAATATTCCTGCCCCTCTTGGCTGAAATTCAAGTATGTTAGTTTGTAATTTTGTTTGGTGTAATGGCAAGGAAATTGTTTTTTGATGGCTCACAGATCCTTTAAACGAGACACGAGAAAATGGAAACGTGTAAAAGCAAGTCAAAATCTATATCCGAACGACAGCAGATGTGGAAAGTGCCAAGCGTCTTGCAGCTTTCAACATCAGCCAGGCAGCGGTATACAAGTACCCTCGCAGGAATGACAGGCTCACCTGCTAGCAAGCTTGGACCCATGGATTTAATTGTTGCGAGCGCTGTTGGCTGAAGGTACCTGATCTTCAGGTTGCTGCTCAGATCTGGTGAGCGTGCAGCTTAGACTTCTGGCTTTCCCTCTGAATCTGTTTGCGAGCGCTGCAGACCTTGCAGGCACCATCCTCATCACTGGAGGCTTCGAGGAGTCTGCCTGGTGGCGCAGGCCTTGTCAGAGGGTAGCTTAGTCCACAAGTCTTGATAGGGATGATGTAGCTGGCTGAACAAGCCAAGGGAAACCTCATAGCAGACGTGCCGTGCAGAGTCCTGCAAAGTGTGCGTATGTCTTGGAATCGCCTGCCAACAGCATTGTTGTGCAGACCGACTAGCTGGACAAGCCGAGCTCTCCCGACGCAGCTCTGCGGGCCAGACCGCGCAAAATTCAAGTCAGGCTACGGCCGAGCCACATGTACAGATGCCCTTTAAAGCGTGCAGATGATGGTGCTCACACATCAATTCTGTTGCCGAAGCTTGTTATTTTCCGCCGTTTGCACGTTCGTGGTCATTGGGCGATCGGCATGTTTGCATGTGCATCGAGAAGAGTACAGATTGGAGCGCCAGGTTTGACAGAACCTGCAGGGCTATCCAGTGTGCTGTCCAAATGACCCGGTGTCACTGTCAAATTTAGCAGAACTGGCAGAAGCAGGTAGCTCATTCCAAAGTGAGTGGTTGTCCACTGCTTTCTCAGACGGGCCTTGGTGACAGCTCAAACTGGAGGACGGCTGTTGTGAGCTTTAATCTCGTGCAAAATTTCGAGGAGCAGGGCAATGGAATTTCGACACGGTACAAGATACAGGATTTCAAGTATGCAGTTGCAGTTGAGTCTGCATACGGTAGCAGTACAAGGGTGCTGGATGTTGAGGAATCAATGATAGGCGTATTCAGGCGCAGGCTTCTCTGAGGAACCAGCAGAAGGAGGTAAAAGAAATTACCAGCGCGCACGACGTGCGAAACAGTCCTGGAGCCAAATCTGATAGCAGGGTTTAGGAATATTCCCCCAACGATGGAGAATCAAATGGGTAAGCAAATGGAAAATGAAGTTGTAGCTGTTTGCGGGGTTTAAGGGGGTATGTAAACAAATCCGAATTAGTCTTTTTTCTACATTGATTCTACATTTTTGGATCTTCAGGAAGTCCTGTGATTTAGCATTAGCAACGCAGGAGAGAGTGGTCACTTTTTGATACTAGTCCATCCTGAAAACTAGACAAGATGCTTCAAGATATAAGAAGCTCTTGGATGTTCATTAAACGTAAAAAAAAACTTCGTGGGGTTGTGAGAAGTTTCCATTATTTTCTACACATGTAATTGAATGAGTTAAAGTAATTACATGAATTACATTAATTGACTGAACTAAATTAAATTCAGTTAATTGCCTTAATTCGATTCGTTAAATTAATCGAAATAATTATCGTATTGTGGGTCAGGGGCATAATCATCTAAAGATGCGTAATTGGATGTTTGTGTGTTCAGACACCAATATGCTGTAAAGGAGGTGTTCTCAGATGAATGGCTCAGGGTGCAGAAGCGATCCGATCTTTCATGCCAGAAATTTGATGTTTTGATCTTGAAGATGGCGTGGTGCGTTTCACCTAACCAAAATTGAGCAACAGAGATACCCTGAAAGTTGAATTGTGCTCGGGGAACGGTATCTACTGTGACTGTGCAATATAGAGAGTAAGGGTCGCTGTCGTATCCGATAATGTTGTCATGCTTGATGCATACGTTGTCATTGAATTGTTCGGAGATTTATTCGAAGCAGCCGGCAACAATGGCCTTACTCTTACATGGGTCATCAGGGAATTTTAGAAAAAGCGGACAATAAAGGACTTCCTATTATGCAAAAAATTGTTGGAAGGCATTGATTTCCCTTTGCCAAGGCTCTTGCCTTCTGCATTTATTATGCACATGACAGTATGCCTCGAATTGCCAAGTACCCAGGTATCAAGATGAGAGTTTCCACTTTAGAACGCAACTTTCAGATAGTTGGTAGCAAGAACTGCCTGTACGCATCTGAAACGTAAAGACATGGACATCAAGACCTTTGACTGCCATGCCCAGGCTTGGCAAAATTGAGATTTTTCAAGGTTTGTTCTTGCATCACGGTTGCTGCACCGCGCAGTGCCTTCATGATTGGTGCGCATCATAGCTGCGCAGTCAACTCCGAAGTCTGAAAAGAGGGCAACTGCTCACATGAAGTAGGGCTTTGCTATTGAGAGAGTGCACATAGGGTTCCTCAGGAAAATCAGGTGAGTGTATTTATATGCGGAATCCACTTGGGAGACTATAGACAAAATCATACATAAACCATTGGTCACATGAAGCTTTGGGCCGGCACCGGGCCTTAGCGCGGGCAGCATAGGATCACTTCTAGTCTGATGTCAGCTTCGAAGCTGGAGAAGAAGATTTGGACGCTTGAGCAGAAGCTACGGGAAGAGTTCAATGCCGCACTTCACAACGAACTCGACAAAGTGTTTGCAAGAGTGGACCAGCTGGAAACCGAGATGCAGCTCCTCAAAGGAGAGACGCCTTTGCAAAAAGCCAATACAAGGCCGGACGGTGGCGTGGCCTGTGACTTCCCACAAGATACTTGCCCGAGGCAAATCTTGCAGCCCAGCGACAAGAAAATTGTGCCAGTACAAGATGCAGTCCAGGAGGCCTGGGAAGAGACACCTCGAAACGAGAGAGTGCGAGGCATGAAGGACCTTGACGAGGTGTTGGAGCCGGTAGCCTTTCACGAATCAACCTGGAATGTGGTGCTGGTGCTGGGGTTCACAGAGGCTGGATGTCTGGACACGCTCATAAGCTGCTTGCTTCTGCTTGCCAGCGCTGCGCTGCAAGTCACCTTCAGTCTCATCTTACTGTCAGAAGACTTTCTGGGGGAACCATTCGTGAAGCATCTAGGCCACGCAGAGAAGTGGAGACGCGGGCTGGCACATGACTACAAACACATGGACCTTTCGGAGACAAGCCTTGCTTCCCGCGTTTGCAATAAGGATGAGACCCTTATTGTCTCCACCAACCAAGCGAATCTGATTGGACAAATCAATGCTTTTCTGAGCATCAGGCCAGCCCAACATGAGCCCACGGAGCTACGTCGAGGCATCCTGCTGTGCATGTTGTGCATTTTTCTCTGGTGCCTCTACCTATGTAATGAATTTCGAGCGATTGGCCTGTCTTTTGAGGCGATCTTGCAGGTGCCCAGGCAAGCACGCACCAGGTTGGAACAGGGGCGCTTGGCAAGTATCTCCTATACCCGCTGCTTCGTCTTCTGCTGTGCGCGGCTAGTGCGAGGCATGATCGCAGGGCTTTTGCTGTACGGCGGCATCCTTTGGCTAGCGAACACAACATCCATCAAAGATCTGGTGCTGAATGCTGTTGCGCTCGGGGCGATCCTGGAAGTGGACGAGATGTTCTTTGCGGCCCTGATGCCCAAAAAGATTCAGATCAAGATTCAGGAGTTTGGGAGAGCTTTCAGGGGACTCCAGTGCAGGGGACCTCGTAGTCATGGATGCGCTTAAGTAGCGATCCCTAGGCTCCTTAGGTCACTAAGGCAAGAGGCCCTGATCCATGGGATCACTAGCAGCCTGTTCAGGACCTTGAGGCGATCAAGGTGGTCTATTCTCGGAGGCGCAGCCAGTTGGAGGCTTTGCTCCTGCTGCTGATCATGTCAGGTTTACTACTGTGGCCTTGGTTCCAGCTTGTGGAACCTTTGGGTGAGAACATGAAGCTGGTGAAGAAAAAGTTTTGCGATGGCGATCAGGATTTTGTTGTGGGCATTAATGCGAACCAAGAAGTGACCATTGGGCGACTGACGACGCCCTTCTCAAGCAGCAGAAATGCCACTCTGATCGAGAAGGCTGTTACGGACTATGCCTTTTCGAGTGGGAGTACTTGGCAACGTATTCTTTTTGAATCCAATAGGAAGTTTGAAAGGAAGCAAACCCAAACAATGGAAGCAATAGCTAAAACAGTCCTGACGTGCGAAGATTTTGATTCCTGGCTTGATGGTAACCAGTCCTTGGATTTATTGGAAATATATGGGCCCTACTGGTATTCCACTGCGCATAGTGTCGGCTTTCCTGACAACAGCACTTGCAAAGACATGGGGGACTTGTGCGAGTTTGAGGGTTACCACCTTCTCCGCCTGGCTTGTGGCGTAACTTGTGGCTGCGAAAGCATTGCCGCAAATCCGTGGTACAAAGTGGAGCACCATGGATGCTCGAAAGGGTGCCGTGATTCGAGTCTTTGGCAGATACGCGATCTTAACTGCACCAACATCCCAGCCAACGCGAGAAGCTGGCAAGATTTCTGGCAGATGTACCCTGACGAGGTGGAGTCCCTTGCAGTGGTTTTAAGCCAGCCATTGAAAAACCAAGTAAGGGCAATTGCCCAAAAGATGATGATTGAGGGTTGTAGTGCATTGCTGAATGTGTCAGAAGACCCGGTGACGCTTACAAACTTCTGTGCCGGCAACACCAATCCAGAGCTCTGGTCCGCGGCCCCGCTGCGTCAGCTTTGCCCATTTACCTGCTGCTCTCAGGCAAGCAGCGCAAGCAGCTCGAGCTGCCCCACCAAGTGTTGCTTTGACAAGATGGACTGCGACAACGCTGATTGCAACGACGATGCTGTAAGGGAGAACTGCAGGCGCACATGCAGACTGTGCTTGGCTTAGCTTTCGTCATCGGACAACCAAGTTGCTGTCATCGAAACCATTGCAGGCTAAGCGAGGGAGCATGTCAGGTCCCGAGGTGAGTGCCAAGCGACACCGGATGCACAGCAAGCAGTGATATGAGTGATCGTGCTAGTGCTGCGGGACAAAATAAATAGCCAGCTTTCATAAACAATAAGATTTCTTGCAAAGCTGCAAGGAAGATCTTCCGTTTCCTGAATGTTGCGCAAGCTAAAGTCACGGCACTAGCCCAAACTCCAGCATTCGAAATGATTATATCATTGCCACGCCAGCCATGCAAATTTGAAAAAATTGTGATCCTTGCTTGCTACTTAAAAACAGTATTTATTCAATATGGGGTCATTCAAATGATCTCCATCTAAAATGTATTTTCGGGCCTGGCGGCAAGTGCCGGCCTGGCCGCCACCCCTCTGCCGACTCAGCCCAGCCCAGCCCTGCTTATGCTCCTGATTGTATGAAACAATGATATTCTTGCTGCCTGTTGGCAGGTCTTGTTCTCTGTAGCTTACTTGAAAGCGACCCGAAAAGGGGTCACGATTGTGTTGAAGATGCTCTTGTACGGAGGTTCATAGGGGGCATAGACAAGGGAAATTTGGGGCTTGGGGGATTTTAGAAGGGTGGATAAGGAGTTCAAGGGTTAACAGGGGACATAGACGAGCGATATTTAGGGTAGGGATATAAATCGTGGGGAAGGCGGGCATGGTCAAGGGCCATTTATTTTTATAGAGGGGCGGCATGCAGAGAATAATGAATTTAGAGGCTATACGAGAGATCATAGGGAATAAGGATATCGTAAGGATATTTGGGTATTCTGATAGGATTTTTTCAAAATCTCTCGATAGACTTAATGATCAATTTCGAAATGAGATTATTGATTTATTATTATTTGCATATCTTATTTTTTTTAATTATTATTTTCTTGAAATTAATAATGAGCTTATCGTTATTTATTCTTCTTCTTTTTCTCTTCAATAGATTTGGGAGAATGAATTTTGTTTTCTTAGATATTTTGATGTTCTTCTGTTTTTCTATTTATATATTATTATAAGGATTTCTTATTGGAGAATATCTTCTTTAATATTTACATTTTGAGATGCATTTATTGAATGAATATTCTAAAAAATATTTATCTAGATGAATTTAGATCGTTTAATTTGTCTAAGTCTATATTGGGAATCTATATTAGATAGGATAAATATTCATTTTTGATATTATTATCTTTTCCTTCGATATCTTGAAATAGAGATATTTTTCTTCTTTCATTTCTGAATAGATTTATTATGCGATCGTTCTGCTCTCTTTTTATTATAAGATTTTTTTCGAAATATAATTTCTTCTTATATCTAGGATAGGAATGATTTTTGAATAGATTTGAGATTTTATTTTATAATCGATTCTTATATTATCTTTTCTTATTCTTTTTATTCTTGCTCTTGATGATTACGTAAATATGGCTTATGAATGATAATTATTCTCGTATTGTAATTAGTTTATAGAATATACGATTAACTTTAGATTCGTGATTAGATCCAATAGATATATCGCAAATGAGAAGATTTATCATTTGATGAGATATTTATTTCTTTCATAGATTCTAGAAGAATAGATTTTGGATCTATCGATTTCTAGTCGTATTGACCTTGATAGGAAGAAATATAAGTAGAGATAGAAGACCCGTCAATTGACGAATCGCCAATTTGATTCTCATATTCAAAAGAGCGGATCATATTCAGCCGACGTTTGCATAATAATATTCTGAAATCTTATGATTCGTAATCTATTGATAAGCGTTTATTTCTTCGATCGCTAAGATTTGAAAATTGGTATGCGAATTGAGAATGGACGCGATTTTATTTATGGCATCTAATCGATAAATCTAGAAAATCTTCGCCTTGATCTAGTATTGACGTTGAATTCCCAGATGAGGATTTATTCTTCGATGATTTAGCAATTATTGATATCAATATCTAAGAGGAATATTTTTCCAATATATATAGAAGCGTTGGATATACGAGGAGGCAAGATAAAAAAATAAAATTGATAAAGATTGGAGATTCGTATCAGGAAAGATCATATGATTTATAATGGCCTATTGATTTTGCGTCGCAATGGTCATTTCAGGAAAATTCAATCTCTAATCCGTAATTCTTCGATATATCAGGGAAGAAATATTCTTATGAGAAAATTCCTATTGGGAGAAATGATATCAATAAAATTTTCTCGTTGATAGCATTTCCAAAATGAATCTCGACGATTTCATCATTCATTCGATTTATCTTCTCGATTTATAATGAAATCAATAATCTTTTTATATTGAAGATCTGAATTCTAGATAGCTCATTTTCCATGAAAAATATAGATATATTGGAAAATTAATTAAAATATATCTTGATATAAAAAATATTCTTCAAGATAGATATATCTTTAAATAGAAATGATAATATTTTTCTCGAGACGAATTAAAAGAAATCTGATTGATAAATTTTATATCATTCTAGAATTCTAATTATAGAATATTAATCTGAAATATAAATAAAATAGATTTGATTATTTTGCGAGAGCTCATCATATAAATAGAAATAATTCGGGCAGAATAGGTTGTATTTCAATATTTTGGGATAGATTGCCTTTGTCATATTATAGGGAAGAATTTCGATTTTATATTTTTTGATATTTGGATAAGGAGGTATTGGATAAGGAATTCTATATAGATGAAAGAATATATAAATGGATCGTATTCTTAGGAGATTAAGATTCTCCGTTCTGATGAAGATCATTAGATTCTTAGAATATATTGAGGGCATCATTCTATATTGATTTTTGAATAATAATGATTTCAATCTCGATATATTTCTATCAGAAATCTCAGGAGATTTATATTATATCTTTTTTCGATAATTTCTAATTCTCTGGAAGATCGTAATATATAGATATTTTTTCTTATAAAATGAGGCGTCGAATTATTACTAATATTCTGGAAGAGAATATTTTTCAAATAATAATTAAAGGCTCAGGACCGGAGATTCCTATATGCGAAATTTAATCTAAATAATCATATCAGGATATTGTCGTCCGCCGAAATAAGAAGACGTATTCGAAGAGAAGGGCGCAGATGAAATGATTATTCCGAATGATGCGAGGAGCTGGCAATATAAATACAAAGGATAATTACGATAGATATTTCTAAATTGATGATCTTAAGATCAAAGATCAATTTCGGATATGATTTCCTATCGTGATAATAATTGTGCGTATATATATATTCATAATATATATACAGATATATATATATCTATATATATTCATGAATGAAATAAGATTGAATCTCGGATAGCATGTCAAGCAGACGCCCTGCACCAGAATTTTTTCCGTCTCTTAATAGGTACAGATGCCGGGAAACCGCCGTTCGACCAATGAAATCTCTTTTTCTATTCCTTATTGCCTCGTTTCTGCATTATTAAATTATCCTTCTTATTCGGGAACCATTTCGTGGTCTCGATGAAATAGATTTTAATCAAGTCCATTGCAGGTCCGCAGGCTAGCTACGGCCCAAAGAGCCCGGCATCCATTCGAGCAAGAAGATCAAATAAAGCAATAAAATGCAAATTGCAAATGCACATCCAAGCAAGCGTAGCGAAGGACCGTCTCGAGAGCAGGAGTCTGAATCTGCACGGCTTTTGGGTGTCAGCACGCGTCTTATGAGCAGAGAGTAGCAGTTGTTTTTGTGCCTTCCGAGAACGGACAGGCGAACCCTAACCGGCCAGCATTCGGCGGGACAAGCTCCCAATCAGTAGTCTTTATCGCCAGAAGAGCATCCCAGACAAGCCCCAATGACATTTGCTGCCAGTCTGCCGCAGCTCCCCATCCCGGGTCGCATGTCGCCAAATTGAACGGCCGTCAGGACTCTTCGCAGAGAAAGCATTCCAGGGATCGCACTTATAGTAGACGAAAAAGAATGACAGAATGATGCACGGACAACACACAATGACTTTCCCATTCTCTGAGCAATGCCCGACATCGCAAAATAGCCTCCCTCTTCTGGACAGCAGCCGCCCCTAAAGCACGAGCCTCCAGTAGAGCGCGCAGAGGCCAGGAAGACAGCCGCGGGTGATGAGGAATGCCGACCGTCTTGAATGTAAACAATGGATTAATCTCAGCTGGAGCTCCGACCTTCAAAAGTTCCGACACCACGTTCTCCTGCCCGCTGTAGCAGCCCTTGATCAACCGCAACTGATTATTCCACTTCTCAAAGCTGAATACATGAAAAGCCTTGCTTTTCAGTGTCAGAGTCCGCAGGACAGCCAAGTATTCATTCATAGGGCCGAACGCAAAATCAAAAGCTTCTGTCGATTCTTGTCCCTCCATCCACAACAACACGGTGGCAAATTGCGACGTCTGCTTGGCCCTCTCACGGCACGCAAGAACGCCAACTCCATACTCGCGAAGAGTCCTGTGTTCGAGAACATCTGGCAGATTAGCCTCNNAGCGGTCGTCTGACTCGAAGATGTCCTTCAGCCTATCCAAGTCGCCGCTCAGAGCCGCCACAGCCACCGCAACACTGCGACCTGGATCGTCTGCCCCAAACGACCAGAAGTCAGAAAAGAAAAGCAATCCGAGCCCTCAAGCCAGCTGCAAACATTCAAAGGCTGCGTCGCAAATACTTTCGGAACTGACGAACAAGAAAAGGCGCGCTTCTCGGAGGAACCCTCCCTTTCCCTGACCACGAGCGTGACCGATCCGCCGCAGAAGCCCTCGGCATGGAAAGCAACTCCTTGTCCCCTTGAGCCTCCTGGGCCCGCCTAAACTCGACTTCAGAGGCTCGCAGGGAGTGCCGCGAGACGTGTCCGCTCCTCGATCCAGCCAAGCTCGCACACAAATTTTGCAAAGACTTCCTGCCGCGTGCAGAAAGAGATAATGATCTCGCGACTGCTGGGTCAGCTGGCTGATACGTCTTCTGTCAATCCTACCGGGCACGTGCACGT